TTCTTTGCACATGTGGTCAAAGGAGGTGGGAGAGGATGTTAACTGTGGTCCAGCAGCAGCAATCCTCAAACCAAGGGTGGAGGATGTGCCTGAAGATAAGGAATATTGCATTTCTCGGGGCACCCTCACCAAACCCAGCTTCTAGAGAGAATCTGTGGAGCACAGCCTGGTGACAAGGGCTATCCTACAGGGAGGCAGGCACAGCAGTCCCAAGAGAGGGCTCTACCGACCAAGATGAAGATAACAACCATATTCGTTGCAGCTGCAAAGCCAGAGAAATGAGCAGATTGCTTTCATTTCCTTAAAGGTGCTTTCCGAAACAACATGTACAGGTGTTGGAGGGTGGAGGTTACCATGTCAAACAGATTACTAAGTGCATCACTATAGTGTATATAGCTGTCACCTGTTGATAGACAATTAAGAGCACATTGCAAATAAAATCACTTCTCATCACTTTAAGATGTACAATCATATTAATTTGGTGCAAAATAGTGCAAACCAGCAGTAAGTGTATTAACTGGGGCTATTCATCAGTGAAGATTCAGGCAGTAGCGCAACTTCATTAAAGTAAAATTGCATAATCCTGATAAATGATTGTCATTCCTGGTCAAATCACAGGCTTATAAAATTCACATTTTTGTGGCAAGCCCACAATAAGACCTTGGAATACATTAGGTGAACCTCTGCTAGATCAGACCATCACTCACAGCAATGTTTTGGCAACTTGAACCTAAAGACCTCATGGTCAGTTGGGTCACTTTGTGCAGTGGAAGATTCTCCCTTTGCATTCCTTATCCTCTTGCGTGGTCTGATTTGCCTCTTCCCTCAATGAAATCAGTTCTTCCACTATCAGCATCTTCAAAGATCTCTTGGTTTTACTGAGTCACATTGTGAAGGACCATGTCCATTCAAGAGATCCTGGCAGGTTTGTGTTGCAAGTTTTGTAGGTATTTTTAACAGCTTGATGGATGGCTCAATGAGGAATCAGGTGAGCAGATAGCTCTTATTGTAATATTCTGTGCCTTTCTTTGTGCCATTCATGCAGCAAGATTGAGAAGACATTCCTCAATGGATAGACACTATCCCCTAAAATCCAATATGCACTTTGGTTGGGTGGATAGCTGTAGAAGATTTGACTGGAAAAGAATGAAATTATAATGGTAACAACCTGGCAAAAGTTTGCACACATGAAGGAAGCTCTTATCATGCTCAGACTATATGCATATTCAGGAAGTGATAAGCTTTTCTAAAATGTCAGTAGGTGGCTTGATGGTAACATGGGTTTAGATAATCATTCAGTGGATTGGGAGAATCCAGTGATGGTGGCAAAATCAGTTCCCTCTGTACCTGTGAGACTCCATCATTCACAATTCTATTCTGCTCTCCAACCTTGCCAAAGATGACATTTGCTATCAGAGTGATGCAATGGTGTCCAGCTGACTATTAGATGCTGCAGGGATTTGCAGCTAAGCTTTGAGCAGTGAAGACATTCTAGAACACAATGACTTTGACTTGACTGTTATTGGCAGGATGGCATGATCTGTGACCTGCTCCCTGGAAAGTCGTGGTTTCCTTTGGCACTGGCTTTCCATTATGTTTTTCCTTTATTGGTCAGTGCATTGAACATAGGAGTTGGGCGGTCATGTTGCGGCTGTACAGGACATTGGTTAGGCCACTTTTGGAATACTTCATGCAATTCTGGTCTCTGTGCTATAGGAAGGATGTTGTGAAACTTGAAAGGGTTCAGAATGATTTACAAGGATGTTGCCAGGGTTGGAGGGTTTGAGCAATAGGGAGAGGCTGAATAGACTGAGGCTATTTTCCCTGCAGTGTCAGAAGCTGAGGGGTGACATTATAGAGGTTTATAAAATCATGAGGGGAATGGATAGGATGGACAGACTAGGTCTTTTCCCCAGGGTGGAGGAATCCAAACCTAGAGGGCATAGGTATAAGGTGAGAGGGGAAAGATTTAAAAGGGACCCAAAAGGCAACATCTTCACAAGAGGGTGGTGTGTGTATGGAATGAGCTGCCAGAGGAAGTGGTGGATGCTGGTACAAATACATTTAAAAGGCATCTAGATGGGTATATGAATAGGAAGGATTTGGAGGGATATGGGCCAAATGCTGGCAAATGGGACTAGATTTATTTAGGATATTTGGTCAGTATGAATGAGTTGGACCCGAAGGGTCTGTTTCTGTGCTGTACATCTCTATGACTCTATCTCTGAATACTTTTCCCTGTTCTGATGAATTCTTTGCAGGGAAAGGTAATTTTTTCTCTCTGGTGGCTCATAGCCTTCTCCTCTGAATTTTCTGATGCCAAGGATTCCTTTCTTCATGCACATGCTGCCACTCCACTGCTTGAATGGTTTTTATTTCTGACAGTCCAGCTCACTTTTCTACCTGTGGCCTTACCGGTCAGATGAGGTATACATAGTCTTAGTCAGTGACCCTGTGCCCAAGTGATGCCAACTGGGTGAAGATCACCTATGCATCTCAATTTGATAAGAATTCTGCCTTTTAGTTCTTCCCCTGCCCTTTGTGTTCCTGCAATTTTTCATGCCAGGGAGAGAACATTTTCTTTCACACATTAGATGGCCCACCAGTAACTTGCAGATAAGGCTTCTTTTAACTGAGTCAGTTCTGCTGCACCCCTGCCTTTGTGTGTACATGCTGAGGGATTCTGAAGTCTGGCCATCTTTCAAAAAGTTACAAATGGACTGAATACTACCTTTACGAGGATCAACTGGTCTCTTAATAGGTGTGGTCCTCTTCCAAGTGCATGCTTAACCCCACCCTCATGAAATCTATTTCTCACTCTACAGGAGCTACCAAACCTGCTAGGCTTCTCCAGCACTTTCTGTTTATAATTCCCACCCTCATGAAACCTGCTGACAATGAGAACAGAATTAGAGGTTTTAGCTATGTTTGAGGCAGCAGTGAATTTTTACTCTCACCATCGCTACCCTGGCTCAATCTGGAATGGGAAGCCCAAACCAAGGATGAGAATTCTAAACTAGAGGCAGGAGCCAGTGTTGGTCAGCAAGCTCATATATGATTGGCAAATAGAACTTAGTGCAAGTTAGGATTTAGCAGCAGAAATTTGGACATGTCCAAGTTTACAGAGAGTGGGATATGAAGCTGGCCTGGATTTGATGCAGACGTAATGAAATTATAGATGAGGGTTTCAGCAACAGATGAGTAGAAGCAGGGCAGAATGAGTAATTCGAAAGGCGAAGTAAGTCTTGGTGATATGCGCTTGGAAGTTCAGAGTAGGGTCAAGTAGGATTGAAAAATTGCAACCAACTTTGTATATGCCTCAACAAAGAAAATCTTAGTGTCTAGTTTTAAACAAGGGTACAAATGATCATCATGACATTGGCCCAGATCTTCCAGATTTCAAAATATTGGGGAGCAGGCGAACAAAGGATGCTATAATGACCCCTCAGAAATTCCAACAAGGACTCTGGGAATTGCCCAGAAATTTGAAACCATTCTGAAGGATCCCCTGTTGGAAGATTTCCCAGAAAAAAACTGTACGCAGGCAAGTATACAACTTCTTTTGTTCAGCGTTCCAAATGGTGTTTCAGATATTGATGAGAAGGACTCTATAACTCTATAAAAGGCACCTGCATGGGCATATGAATCGGAAGGGTTTAGAGGGATATAGGCCAAATGCTGGCAAATGGGACGAGAGTAATTTAGGATATCTGGTTGGCATGGATGAGTTGTACCAAAGGGTCTGTTTCCATGCTCTATGACTCTGTAACTGGGGTATTAATGTTACATGATTCCTGAACAAGATTGCACAAATAGAAAGGGCTTCAATTAGTGGCAGGGCAAGAAGTCTGACTACGGCATTATCCTGCCTAACTAAGTTCCCTTCCACCCTCCAAACACATGAGGAGAGAGACCATAATATTGTAACCACTAAAGGAAATCCTAGTAGCAGCTAAAATCCAGGACTTAATTTTAAAATGTGACAAGTGGAGTTGTTACCACCATTTAAGGTATTACATAAACTAATCAACAAAAATATTAACAGATAACAAGGTGTAGAGCTGGATGAACACAGCAGGCCAAGCAGCATCAGAGGAGCAGGAAAGCTGATGTTTCAGGCCTAGACCCCTCTTCAGAAATGGGGGAGGGGAAGGGGGTTCTGAAATAAATAGGGAGAGAGGGGGAGGCGGATAGAAGGTCGATAGAGGAGAAGATAGGTGGAGAGGAGACAGACAGGTCAAAGAGGCAGGGATGGAGTCAGTAAAGGTGAGTGTAGGTGGGGAGTTAGGGAGGGGATAGGTCAGTCCAGGAGGATGGACAGGTCAAGGGGGCGGGATGAGGCTAGTAGGTAGGAGATGGGGGTGGGGCTTGAGGTGGGAGGAGGGGATAGGCGGGAGGAAGGACAGGTTAGGGAGGCCGGGATAAGCTGGGCTGGTTTTGGGATGCGGTTGGGGGAGGGGAGATTTTGAAGCTTGTGAAGTCCACAAAAATCTCCTTTTGCTTTCAACAGAAGTACGTGAAACTGAACATGGCAAAGCAGATTTCATGGAGTCATTTCTAATTGTCAAATGCACAGTTGTGATATATTGTTGCAGCAATATGTTGTTGAATCAACCAAATTGTAAGTCGTACCAAGTTGTGTTAACAAAATGATGACCAAGTGCATTTGTTGCTTCCTTTTTGTTTTGCCTTAACACATTGTAGGAATTATAGGTTGTTATTGGATATCTAAAAATGGCTTCTGAACAATCTCAGGCTGTATTTAAATGCTAACAGTGACCACAGAAATATAGTACAGATGGCAAAGAGATTTGATAAACTAGATGCACTGTGCGTCTTTCTTTATGTGGACATATTTCATATTGTATCCCTCCTACCGTAAGTGTAGACTTCAGATGCCAACCATGGAAAATTAGAGGATAGAATATTTATCGTGATGACATAAACTTTTCTAAATTCAACATACAGAGAATATGTGGTAAAATTTTAGAATTATGAACCTTCTTTTGCTTGGTATAACACCCATCTCTTCACTGTCTCCCTCAGGTGTAACCATTCGTGCTTGCCACCATTCATCATCAGAGGCGTTGATAACATGTAAAATGTCTCCATATTTGAAGCTGAGACCTTGACTTGGAAGACCACTGTCCTTGGTTTTGTCATAGTCAAATAGAGCTCTGAAAAACATATTGCAAAGGCTTTTAAGTCTTGCATTTTTGCTAGACAACAAGATATTTGCTACTGCTTTAAGCACTTTATTACTCAAATTTAAAATATCCTAAGTGTGTTTTCTTTTTTATCATTTTTGCTACGTAACAATGCCCAATGATAGGTGCCCTACATCCTCAGAGCACATATTCATTTCATAATCGATGCACTAGTCTTATTTTATGAAGAGTTATTCATTTGAACGGATGATTGTATTTCTGAGCACTAAAGGTTTGGAGGAAATGCACCTTCCGCTTGCTACTCCATGCCCAGATGTAATTTCCTTAAAACAAATGACAGAACAGCTCTGCCATTTCTCTAATGATGAAATCTAAAATTTTCTCAGTTGTCAAAGTAGCAGAGGTAGTTGACTCAAAAGAAACTGTCATAAAAGGAAAAGAAATTAGACAATGGAGATTCATTTTAAATGCAAACATGGTTGCATCAAAACTAGCCCTCGATCTTCAAAAAATTAATGCAAGTTTTTGAGAATCAATATGTAGAAATTACTTTGTTTACAGTTTACACTAGTTTAAATTACCAAAATTATAATTTTGTAGAGACAATGGGCTGAAACTTGTGTTGAGTTTGGTAGAATTACTCATGCCACAAGTTCTCTCACCATGTCTTACCCAACTCACCTCATTAATTGCTGTTTACCAATGGGAAGTATCAAGTCCAATTTTCATCTCATCTTACCAAATGATGTTCCTGGAACAATATGAAACTCACCAGATAACTGCATTCAGATCAGCATCACTTGCATCAGTGCCATCTTTGAAAGCATGCTACACACCTAGAATAGTGCTGGAATCTGGCAGCTGTCCTGCTTGTTATTTGGTACTCAGGAGAGATGGTCAAGAGGGGAAGTTGGACCACAATTCTCTGACAGGCACCTGGAGAAGCAGCGAGGGAGCTGTGACATTACACAATACCAGCCTAGATGGAGACTGTCACCTGGGTCAGTGCCATTTCCAGGGTGCAGAGGACTGGTTACAGTACCAGATAAAAGTGACAATTTCCAGTTTGCCAGAGTAAGTTCCCATTATCTGTATCCTAAATCTGTATGTGAAAAAGATCTCTGCCTTTGCAGGAGAAGGCTCAGATTGCTCCTGTGAAGATGCAGAGACATTTCACATCCTGGCAACTGAGTAAGTATCATGTATACTGGAAATTCCATTTACTTACACTGAAACACTATTATTAACCATGTCATACATGAGTCCCCACTTGTAACCAATGGTCACAACGCCCTCTGTCTCTTATGTCTTCGAGATGCAGCCAGGATCCCATGTACATCTGCAAAGAGCAAAGCCTGATTCTCGCAAAGCACATGTCCTTTACCTCTGTGAATGAAAGTGTCAAAGGCTGCCTGATGAAACCCACACTAACTCTGAAGCAGAGACGTTGGTGGCATTGGTGGGTGAAGAAGGTACGATGGGAGGCTGCTGAGGATTTCACACCAAATGGGTGAGGGAGAAACGCCTCAGGCCACTAGCCTTTGGAGGAGTGCTGGCAATAGGCTCTTGTTCAGCCCCAGAGAGTGGTGGGCACCAGGATGCTGAATAAATTTAAGGAGGGTAGAGATGAATTTTTAATTAGTTATAGATTATAAGGGTTATGGAAAGCATCAGGAGAATTGAGTTAAGGCCAAGATGAGATCAGCCATAACCATATTAAATAGTGGAGCAGGCTTGAGGGGATGAATTGTCTCTTCCTGTATCTAGTTCTTATGATCTTATTTTGACAGGGCCATCACCCTCAGAGGATCCTGGAGCGTCTGTATTCCATTGCTCCAGGAGTAAAGGCAAGGTGAGATTGGGGTGGAGAGTCTTGACCCCAAGAGTACTCTGTCCTCATGAAAACACACAAGAGACACACAGCCAGAAGAGGAGCCACTCACAGGTCCTTTTCCATTCAGGACACTGAGGAGGCAGCCTGGTCCTCCATGTCCACACCCCTCTGACCTTTGACCATTAGCATGTCTGGCCTGTCCAAACCCAAACACCCATAGGTTACCCCTGCCGAACTGCCAGGTCCAAAGGACTTCACTATAAAGCAGGTTCTCTCCACCCCATCTGCGCAACAAGGTAGTGTTGTGAGGTGCAATAGCAGGAAGAGGAGAAGAAAGGTACACAATGGCCATGGGGGAGTCACACCTGACAGTAATCGAAATAGCTTTTTTTAATTAAAAAAAGCTATGTTTTTTTTAAACTGTTCATCTGATTGTCCATGACTCAGTGTAGGGCCTAGATGAGTTATTACACTCTCTAGACAGTAACAAGGTGTAACCATTGGTGGTATACAATAAGCTCGAAATACATCATGTGGGAGCAGGGGTAGTAATGTATGTACATTCTGACACTTTAGGCTCCCTAGCTCTGTCAACATTGCCTACTATCAAGTTGGCTGTGCCCAAGAGATGGATCACACAGAGAGGGTCAATGCTGCAGGATTGCCAAGGAGTAGACAGCTTGCATACCTTTTTGCTGACATATCATACTATCACAGCCAAAGTTCTTTCCCATGAACATCCAGGGGGGCCAGAACGTGGTGACTGTGGCATTGGTGGGTCCAGCACAGGTGGCATTGGTGAGCCTGGCACATGACACATGGCAACGGTGGCAGTGAGAGTAATCTGCACATTTTCTTTTCCTTCTGTTTCTGTAATTTTGGTTTTGTTTTAATTCTAACTATTGTATTCGAAGATGCCACGGAGAGTGACGACTCTGAACACTTTTCACTGCACTCCTGTACTTGGGTGCACATGGTAATTATCTAATCTACCTAATTTAGAGTGACCATTTGCATTTGCAGCCTCCTCCTTCATATGTCAATTCACTTACCCCATCCATTGTATGTGCATTTATGGTCATTGTCCTGATCAACGTGAACTTTCAGTATGTTTGATGATTAAGACTACAGTGAGCAGTCCATTGCCCTCAATTTCAGCCTCAGCTTCAGTATGCCTTTGAAATACTCACATTTCCTTCTCCCCTATTGGTGCCCATTCCATCAATCCTCGATGCTTGAATTACAATTTGTGCAATCGGGTGACTAGGATGCTGGCTGTACTGTGCAACAGTCCTATTCAAGCCTGCACCTATCTTGTTGATAGTGTGCCACAACAATCTAGCATCTGTATCACGTGGCAGCAGCATTTGTGCTAAACACAATGTATCTACAGCAAGCAGTCAGACATTTCTGAAAATTTGATTGTAGGCAAGATAATGGTCATTCAGAGAAGGCAGTGAGCTGAATCCACTAAACACCTGCTTTGGTTTTCAGGTTGGGTTTTCTCCATGACCAATTTATTTCCAAGTTCGGTAAGATCGCAACTAGAATATTAATCAGGCAAGTTTGGCCATCAACAAGGAGCTTAACAATTGCTGTCAATTGGCAACTTGCCACTACCCAGTAAAAGTCTCACCACGCTGCTTGTGAAAACCACAAAAGATGGGATCAGATGATCGTGAAATCGAGACCGCTTCACTGAACTTGTGTCCTGATTCTGCCACACATCTTACTATAGCCCACAGAGAATAACAAGGACTGCAGATGCTGGAGTCAGAGACAAAACAGTGTGGAGCTGGGGGAACACAGCAGGCCAGGCAGCATCAGAGGAGCAGGAAAGTTGACGTTTCAGGTCGGGACCCTTCTTCAGAGCTGCCTTCTTGAACCACTGCAGAAGGCATGTACCATGTATATATGAAAAGGAAACTATTATAAGGCTTAATCTGTCTAAAAGTCACAAACTCACCAGGTCGACACTTCACACTGTTGACAGACTGAACATCATATATAATACACTTTGGTATCATGAATCATACCAAAAGGATGGAAGATTCAAAATATTGTGCACCGTTTACAAAATGGAATAAAGCAGATGACTACAAACCATTTCGCCTCATATCAGTACTAGGAAATCTGCACGTTTATTATTTTCAGACAAAGCAAACACATTAAATCAAAAGATATCATTTTCTAATGGATGTAAAACCAGGAATAGATAATAGATAACCCTAATAAACCTCATTACTGGATTGCATCCTTACAAAGAATGCAGACATCTGAGTCCTTGATGACAAAGGGAAATCCAGGATCAATTCCACAATTCCTAATCCCAGCAGGATGTGCATGGTTCAAAGGATTTAGGTGAGCATTGACAAATCAGGGGACTAGAATTCAGCAGAATACATGTGGAATCCCAATGATCCATATTACAAAACACATATCATGTTACTTGTAGGCAAGCCTGATTGCTCGCTGTTACAATTGTGTATCAATCATTGATTATAATTCATATGTCCACGCTTGCAGAGTCTCCTGAAGTGATCAGGGCAGAATGGGGTAAGAGTGGAATCAGACATCATTAATAATAACGCCCTTGACCTGTCCGTCCTCCCTGGACTGACCTATCCCCTTCCTAACTCCATACCTACACTCATCTTTACTGGCTCCATCCCCGCCTCTTCGACCTGTTTGTTTCCTCTCCACCTATCCTCTCCTCTATCCCTCTTCTATCCGCCTCCCACTCTCTCCCTATTTATGTTGGAACCCCCTTCCCCTCCCCCTTTTCTGATGAAGGGTCTAGGCCCGAAACGTCAGCCTCTCTGCTCCTATGATGCTGCTTGGCCTGCTGTGTTCATCCAGCCCTGCACCTTGTTGTCTCGGATTCTCCAGCATCTGCAGTTCCTACTATCTCTCATTAATAATGTCCTTGGCCCAAGCAAAGTCATGTAGGTTAAGTGAACACTGGGGGCCACTACTGTTGACCAGGATAGGTGCTCAAGTTACTTGTTTGGTTTTGTAGAGATATATTAACATACAGGGACAAAAGTTTGCAAATAGCACAAGTATACCTCATCAGTGACAAAATGTAACCTCAAATTTCTGTTTGTTAGTAGGACATGAGAGCTGGAGCAGAGCTTGCCCAGAAAACAAAAACACTTGTTGAGTCAAATGGATG